TCATTCTGAGGCTTTGTAGAGGTTACACCACTGTTACTGGCTTTCTCACCACTGGCTTCCTCAATTGTACACATCCTGTTCCCTTACATACAGCAATGTGTACAACACATATCACATATAATGTGCATTTGTGTGTTATGACAAAATACAAGATAAAACTTGATGTGCCTATTGTGTTAATTGTAATTTTTTTTTTTGTCAGTGTCAGTACCCTTTATGCAGTCACCTGAATATTAGGATTGCGAAGTTCCACACATCAATGGAGTAGATTTGTGAATTTAGGACAAAAAAAACCCCACGAGAGCCAACGTTGTGAATCATTTGGTGGCTCACAGAAAAAAAGTTAAAAAATGTAGATTAGAATACCTCAGGAATTGTATCAAACAGCTTCCAAATTCAAATCCCACATTAAAGCAATGAATCTGTTCATTTTCTAAGACTGATAAGAGGTCTGGATTACACTGTATGGGATACAGTTTGAGATGGACTATTCAATTATTAAATTGTATTATTAGAACTTGCAGTGGCCATGCCTCTGAGGAAGGAAACTGGTGTGCCAAGTCAATGGATAATATTAGTATAACGTCCCTTAGCAACAAAACACATTGCAGAGCTGCAGTTCAAACACCTGCCATTAACACGAAGGGACTGCACAAGCTGTCAGCACAGCTTGCAGAACACCATGCTGTAGCAATGGAGATTTGGCTCTGGTTAACTGGGCAGCAGAGTATGCGTTGCTTTGCAGGCAGGGACAAGTGAACAGCTGAGGATATGTGCAAGCTTGTGGTGCAACCTGCCAGCAATCTACAATGTGGCAAACCATCTGAGGATGTGCAATTTAGAGGGGGCGTAAAACATGTAAGGTTAGCATCTGTACAGTATCAGATTTTACTTAACATTTCCATAACCACTAAAATTTCGATTTTTTATTCTATTTGAACAGAAGGCAGTTGTCATCAGATTGCATTAGATACTTTTGAGGTAATGATTTCTTCAGAACCAAAGGAATTGTTAGTCAGACATTTCTTGGATAACATAATACCAGACTGGGGTTTGACGTTCAATTTTTAACTATGTTAGTTTTAACTATGAGTATCTATTTTGGTCTCTGGGATCAAGTGCTATATATTGATTTTAACTGGTTTACACAGTACTTGGTTATCATTAGTTTTCTTTCCGATTGCATTGTGAGGTTTTTATTTACAGATAAGCCCAATTGGTCCAATTTAAAAAAAAAACGAATTCAGCTTTGTATTCTGATGATAAAAGGGACGTTTTCTTCTGGAGATTAATGCATTGCTTTTATTGGTTGTAAAGCCAAAAATCCTTGAACTGAATCACAGTTCCTTTTCAAGAACCTGTTATAATGAACAGCAGACCATTAATTATTTAGTCATTCACACCACCCTTCCACCTCCCAAATGCAGTAAATGCAAATGCAGCTCTTGAACACAGTGTTGTGTTTGAAATTAATATGAATTGTCCAATTGTTTATTCGTCCCGTCTCCTTGGAGACGAGGAAACAAGTGGAACAGGCTGTTGTGCTCGGTAGCAGTCTTGTTCTCCTCTGCAGACTGCAGATAAACAGCCCTTCCTGAACTGCAGACTGCACAGCAGCAATCCAGTCTTGGAAAGAAAGAAACCAAACCAAACAAAAACAACCTGTTTCAGTTGAAGGTCCAAAACACCTCCTGGTATTTGTTTTGCTTATATTTGACATTGCCATTCTGTCTGTCCATTCTTGCTAATGTAACGAATATACCCCTGCGTATAACAGGGATCTCAGCCGCCTGGGCTGAGGGAGCTCTCCTTTAGCTCAGCTGGCAAGTTCCCTGTTGTGTGACGCCGGAGACCCGGGTTCATGCCCAGGCAGTGAGGGATGAGCTGGCAGGGCAGGAGCGGCAAGGGTGGAGACCCCAAGAACCGTTACACTAACCTGACTCCTTTTAAAGACATGAATGAAAGCTTTAACCTTTTCACTGAAATCAGTACCAAAGATACGCAGAGCATTTATATTCAAAAAAGAATATGACAGATCAAGGCTAAACTCATTGAAGCAAAAAATCATTTGAATATGTATAACCATCTTAATGCATTACATTGCCCTCATATAAATGCTCCTCCTTAATCAAGTGATCTTAAATGCTGATTTAATCACATATAAACAGATGGAACAATTTTGTTTTCTTTCAACTTATTAAAATAATTTCCCTTGCTGCCACGTTTGAGTGTTGTTTTAAAGAGAAATGTCAGTCACATTTTCCCTCTTTTAAGCCTACCAATGTGCACCAGCCCATTACAGCTTTACCAAACTCACCAACCACTAAAACCCCTCAACTAACACATGAAAGATGAAGACAGCATGCACACCCTCTTCAAAATCAACATTGACAGGACACCCACATCTTTACATACTGTGTACTCAGAATATAAACAACAGAACTCTTCAGCAGTAGGGCAGACTGATGCAGCTCTCTTCAACTGTACTTCAAATCCACATGTTCTCCAGCTTGGTATTGGAGTCATTAGTGTGCACAGAGCAAATAATCCCACCACCACTGGCTTCTCCCCCATTCAGCTCATGGCCTGCATAATTGTCAGCTGTTCTGTTGTCAAGTGTCAGTTGTCAGTTTCTCAACTGGTGGTCGGTCGAGAAAGGACCAGTCTGGATTTGAACCAGTGATCTCTACTCTAGGGCGCATACTGGAATCTGGACTCTTATTTATTTACTTTTCCTTTATGCATGACTATGCTGAGATTTTTGTGATTTATACTCTAGTTGAGACAGAAAAATATTAGCATATGCTTTCATTATGTTCCCAGGTTATCAGTCGTATTTTAGGGCTGTCAGACAAGACCTGTAGTAAAAGTCCTTCCAAACAAGCTTTTGGCTGTTTTTTATTATTTGTTTACATTGTGGATAGCACAGGTGGTTAACTCTACTACCTCACAGGTCTTGGGTCTTGGGTGTGATTCCAAACTGGTGCATCTCCTGTGGGAGGTTTGCTTGTTCTCCCCAAGTTTGTGTAATTCTACTATGGATGGTGAAGTTTCTCTCATCTTCCAAAGACATGTCAACTAGGTTATTAAGTGTCTTTAAATTGCCTGTGTGCATGTGTGCCCTACAACGGACTGGCATCCTGTCAAATGTGTAGTTCCTCCTTGTTCCCGGTGCTTCAGGGTTATGCTACAGGATCATACAGCTTCCTCTATATGGATGAATGTAAACATGATAAATTCTATGAGAAAATAATTTTTAATATGAAGCTTATTTTTTAAGACTGCTTCCAAAGCTCTGCAGAAAATACAGGGATGAAGAGGGCACTATACAATTCCTTTCACCAGGGTACTTTCAAAAGTAGTGAGTCAAGGAAATTTAATTCCTTATTTAATTTAATTCAAAGTCATACTTTGAGCCCTCTTACCGAGTGTTCTGCAAAAATCTCTCCACCATTTGTCATGAATTTGAGCACATGAATTTGCTTTGTGATGACACCAAGTGAAAAGAAACTTTGAAGGGAAACACTGTGCTGTCCTGAAAATTTATATATAGACAAGAACAAAATTATCTCCATACTCCAAACCATCACAAATTCCTGCAAAGGAGGACAATCTATCTCCAAGTAGCAGAGACTCTGGTTCTGGTTTTTCTACAGAGAGAAGAGGCAGCCTTTTGACATGATTCCTTGTCACACCCCCTCCCTTTGATTGTAGCGTAGCAAGGGGACCTGCACATGTAATCAACCCTAACATGGGAGATCAAACAGCTGAGAAAACCACCCTGATGTTACACTTCCTCCTCTACCCTTTAGTCATCCCTAAACACATGTTCAACTCTATGTCAGAAATGAGTTGCATTGAAAAAACCTCACTCAGTCGATCGATCCCATTTAGGCCAGTCCGTTCTCACCCATCTTCCTTCTTACCAGCAGGCAGGCACAGCAACGATCAAGGCTGCTGCTACTAATTAAGATAACTTGCTCTTGAGCTTGCTTTTACGTCCAAACGGAGTACTTTCAAACCTTATTAGAGTTTCCCCAAAGGATCTGACCCCCAGATCGTGTAATCTCCCTGTCCCAAAGTGACCGCGAGGGTCTGGTTAGACGTCCTCTGTCTCATCAGTGAGTGCTTTTATAGAGAACTGTCAGCTTCAGGTGCAGCCAATTCCCCAATTACCTCATTAGAATGCAAGGAATGTGTTACTGTGACAGTCTTAACACCACACTGGTGGTTCAGCCCTGTTTCTACAGTGCCATACTGGCTGCTCTATTACAGTCCTGTATACTCATTCATTTAGATAAATGAACTTTTGACAAATGTGCACAAAAACCTAAAAGAAGGACGATGCATGCTTGGGAAAAATAATGTCTGCCCATCAAATGATGAATTTTTCAAGTGCACGTCTCCGCTGCCATACATGGTTTCTGCTAACATGTTGAATTCATTGATACCAAAATTTCTGGAAGTGCAGGGAATTCCCACGTGCACAAAGTCTAAAGGAGTGTTGATCAATATGTCGGGGCATCTATGCTTGTGCATGCCCAGCACCTTCTTCCCTGAAAACCCATCAAAGCGTTTTTTTTTTTTGCTTTGTTTTCTTCCTACTGTTCCTCCTACATTTTCACAGTATTTTATGATTGCCCTCATCTTTTTTAAACTACAAATCATGGCTCCTGAATGTTATGACCAAGAAAGTCAATAGTGTTGCAAAGTGTTCATTTTTGTGACGACTTTAGAAAACAGATGCATTGGATGTAATTAATGTATATTGTACATTACTGTGTATGTATCCAAGAAAAAAATGGGGGGTTAATTTTAAGATTTACGAGTCAAATGCTGGCGTGTGAACCTAACCTCCATTTTTCATGAAGCTAAGGATTCGTTACACTTTTTTTTCCTCCACCACGAGGGTTTCTAGTGAGAAAACTCCTGTGTAAAACAAGGGAATGTTGTATATCAAACTAGCCTTCAATTATGAATCAATTTCTTGTGCATTGCAGTGAGATACCAGAGGTGGCACTATGCCCTCCAGAGAGCCCAGATAGGGAGCCAAGGCTGACCTTGATCCACACAGATGGGGATCGTCTCAGCAGCCCAGGTCACCCGAGGACAGCCTCCCTCTCCCAGCTCTATCACCAGGTGTCACAGGGCTGCTCCCACCAATCTCCACTCCTCAAGAGATGCCGCTATTGTGGGCATCGGCAACCAGTTACAAGCAGCCTCTGCCCTGAGCGCCACTCAGGCCCAGCCAGCCCCCGACCAGACTGCTCCTCCGCCACCGTCAAGACCGCCGACAGCTGTAGCCCCTCCCATGTGCCCTCATGTCATGACACTATTCATTGCCATTGGCTGCAGGGATCACATGATGCTGGCAATCACCAAGCAATGCAGCACCACGTGGTGACCGTCAGGTACATGCTTCTATCTCCAATTTCCATTTAATGGCACATGATACAGGTTTCTAGTTGACAATATAAGGTCTGTTGTTCTGTTTGCCTTGTCAACGCCAAGAATTCTCAGTCACAAATTATATTTGTTACCTATTACTGAATGGCAAGCCAAATGTCTAATGATGAAGTACACCTGACTATTTTTTCCCATTTTAGACACGAAAGACTCTACAGAATCCCCAGAAGGTCAGTGTTGTCATTTTTCATATTTAGACTTGTTTTATGGAAATAAAATGCTTATTTATTTTTGCAGTATAGATTTGATTACGAATTGATTAAATGTAATTTTAAGAATTAAACTATGTGGTATTGAAATTTGTTAGTCTTTACATATCAAATACTACATTGAACAGCATGCTCACAGACATCCTGACCTTTCTGATTGGTTGACAGTTACTCACAGTTGGTTGCCGATTGTCCAGTGGCACTGCTTATTACTTGTGCTGTGGTCTTCCTGGGGTGTTCCCTAGCTGGGATTTTGACTGGTCCGCTACCAGACTTCTCTGACCCCCTCTCCGTGAGTACCTTGTTCTTCTTTGCTGTGTTCTTGGGGCCCACCAGACAGAACTCTTCTCCATTTGAGCAATCCTCAATCTTGGTCTGGGCTACATTTCTCACCCTCCTAATTAAACCTCATTAGAAACCAAAAACGGACTCAAACTGCAACTATTGAACAGTAATCACATGCATACTTGCTGTCTCTGGTTGACAAACATATATTGTTTCAACACAATTACAGACCCAGCCACCAGTCAGCCAGCCTAAAATAGAAATATGAGATGGAAGATTAAATATAATCCAGAAACTATTAGAATAAATTGGTGGAAAATTGACACATGGCTTGTGGAAAACAAATAGAAAGCTCTGAACAGCTTTCCAGACTTTTGATGTTGTATAGCCTTTATAATTGTCCATCAAGTATTGCATGGATCATTGTTTCAACAAATGTTTTTATAATAGCTGCACTAGACATGCCCAGGTTTGAAATATGCTCATAGAATGCTTAAAGCCCTGCCGTTCTATCATGAGGAACCATATTATTTTCTTGTGGTTAGGAAGCAGTTTATTTAGCATAAAAATCTAAAAGACCTATTAAAAATTGTCTGTTCAGACAAAAAATTGAATGATCAGGTGGTAATCCACAGAACACAACCCAGAGTATTAAAAACAATGTCATTAACTGTCTGCACTTCATTAGTTTTGTAAAGTGCCGTTGCAAAGCAGGGAATATCAGAAAACATCTCTCAGCACCAACAGTTACAGAAGTTAGAGTCTTGTACTGTGTTTACAAAATGTGCACAGAAAGCATTTCTGTACTGCTTTGGTTTGGGATATAATAGAGGCTGCAGCAAAAGTGTCAAAGAGCTTTGATATGACCCACAGGGATTTGAGCCTCGTGGGACAGAAATCGGGAGACGGCTGTCAGCCTGGAACAGGCTACAGGAGAACACAGGGCCCGAGAAAACATTGTCCCTGTCCCCTCGGCAACTCACAGAGCAGAGAGTAATCAGGTAACGAGCTGTCACAAACACAAAGCAGCACTAGCATTACAGTAGCCCTTGTCAGGTACCTGCAATGCACTTACACATTATATGGTATAATTAGTGCTAATTATATGAAGTTCAAAGTGCTGGAATAGTGGTAAGGGCTGTAGCCTCTAGACCTGAAGGTCATTGGTTTGAACGAAGCTGTTGTGCTCCTGATCAAAGAATTTCACTCCAGATTTCTCCAGTAAAAGCCCTGCTGTACTGTGAACAGTATATAGGTCCTCCCTCAGTTGTCACTGCGAATGAGATTTTCTTCTCAATTGACTGAGCTGGTTACATAAAGAGCAATGACTCTCACTTTGTCCAAAAAATTAAATGATATTATCTCCCTTCATTTGCAGTCTCTTATAAGATATGATTGGTTTCATTTTATACAATATGATAACTGTTTAAAAAACTAGAGAGAAAATAAGTAACCTCATGGCAGTGTAGTGAGAGATTCTGAGCAGATGGATGTGACTAGACTGAATAAATTGTATAATCAGATGTTGCATTGCTCATGCTGTCTCTAAATAAGATAAAGCTCTCAAGACCCCTAGATGCAAACAGTGGTGCTTGCAGCACAGGTAGCTTGCTCAGCAGGCACTGTGCGGCTCTCACTGTGGGCCTATAAGAGCTTACCTTTGGTGATTTTCCATATTCCTTCTGTAAAGTTATGATGAGGAGGGTGGAGGAGGCACTGGGAAGAGCCGTGACTGGCCAAGCCCACGACAGAGGAGAATGCTGGACTGGGATTTCACTCAGGACACCTTCTTCTGTGACTCTCCAGGTAAGTGTTGGAAAGTGACCTCCTGAGACACACAGACTGAAAGGCAATTCAGCCTTCTTGACACTATCCCCTTGCTAATCTATGCTATCCATCATGCAAAGATGAAAATACTTTACAGGGAGAAAAGAACAGAACTTAGTTATATGACAGTCATTTCTTTAAGGGTTTAAAGCTTAAATGACAACAGAGGTAATAGCTCTTTTTACAACGGGTATTTATATTTATGCACTTGAATTTGGCACACATTATTGCTAGAATTACAGCCTTCACTAGAGGGAAAAAAACAGTCTAAAGATCTTCTGTGTAAAATTACAGAGGATCAAGAATATAAGCTTTTTTCTTCTAACATGCTCTGAAGTCATAGTTACGTGTAAAACTGGGCTTATCCAAATAATATATATCTTAACTATGCATATGTATTGTTTTAAATCCATCCATTATTGAAAAGCCCCATATTCCTGATTAGGATTGTCTGGATGGCAACCCAGAGCTTCTCCGAGAAGCACAGGTAAGGTAGAAAAACACTGTGAAGGAGATACCAGTCCATAGCGGGGCACAGACACACACACAGACAATGCAGAGACACCAATTAACCTAGCAGGCAAAACCACAAAAGCTGGGTAAACATGTAAGGTCCACACAGAAAGCTTAGACTATGCAATAAAACCCAGGATGCAGGAGCTGACACACAACACTAATAACCATGCTGCCCTACCGTTTTGTGCAATCAGAAGTAGTACATACCACAACGTGACCATGTTGCTCCCTTAACTTACATAAGATGTCTTTTTAAATGAGACAGAGTGCCTTCGCTTGTTTTCAGTTGCTCAATACTAGTTTTTAGGTGAGCATACAGGAATTGTAAGGATTTTAGCAACAGAGGATGAAATAGCATCATCTGGAAAACCTTAAAGCTGTTGAAAATGCATTGAGATTTATCACTTTGAATGTGACAAAAAGCAACAACACAGCTTAATCAATGAATGTTCCTTGGCTTGGTGATTGATGTAACACATTCTCTCCACGGTACTACAGGAGAGAAGTATGCTCAGCTGGTGTTTCGCTCAGGGAACTCAGCCAGCCTCTGGAGTTTGCAAGCCATACACTCCATGTGTGAGATGGAACAGGCAAGGGTGAGTCCATCTGCGCTTTCCCTTCAGAACAGCAATATGAGTTACTGAGGCCAAGTGCTTTATACAGAAAGGAGAATGCACTTACAGTAGTCCATAACTGAAGTGCAGCAGCCACCTGGATAAATTGCGGAACCCAGTAGATCAACTGGGGCAGTGAGAGAAATTACTTCACCAATTAAATCAAAGGAGAAATTGAGGGAGGCCAGACTGCAGAGGCCCAGAGTGGTATTCACACCTCTTATTTCTTTTTAAATTGGTTGATACTGTAACTGTTGTATTGTAACAGATTATGAGCTGTGCAGTAAGCATGTAAGTAAGTAACGGAAAGCCAGTCTGAACAGTGAAAGCCTCATACCAAATTTAACTTCAATATTGAGACCATAAATTCCCATTGAGAGGACATGGGAAGAAGCCATTTATTAATATTGTTTATTACACATAATTCCATCATGCTGTATCTTGCAGCGTAACTGTCTGCCAGATTATGCTGCATATCACTTGAAATTTACTAATTTTGTGTTTCAGTTCTTTCTGTTACTGATTTGGTTCTAAGGCAAATTGGCTACATTTTTGTTTATGTCTGTAAAAGGTGCCAAATTAAAAACTAATCTGCATAATAAAATACTCATAGAGACAGCGGTGTGAAAAGCTTACTCCGGCTGTAGTCAAGCTGCCAACACTGTTAATATTGCTGCAGTCTAATCTAGCTCAGCTCCACTGGGCCGAAACGTGCTCAGAAAATCTCTTCATTCGAAAAGCACATCTGTTTATTCTTCCAACAGACAGCCCACCTTTTATAAAGAGCTTGATATTCACACACATGGGGGCCTCATTTTGCTTCTATTCAGATATTTTTTTCACAAAGCATTTGAAGTATCACAATTTATTTTTTCTGCAACTTAGTAAAAGATCAAGAAAAAAGACCTATTTTATTATGAGAAATATATCACAAGGAACAAGCAAGAAGCATATAGACATAAATTGAAAGAGAGAGTCACATCTGTGTACATTTGTATAAATGTATAAAAAATACAGCTGTCAGCTTTTCACACAATGAACATTATTTATTAATCTGTATAACATTTTACTGGGCAATCATCTGCATGGTTGCTACAGCTTTTCTCAAGGTGTATCAGACTCTAAACTGCATCTGAAATCTTCTACCTGAGAGGTGATTGTATACTTCCATCATTACATTTTCTTTTGAAAAGGGCAATAAACCTTTGCAAACAGTACATTTAAGCATAGCTGTCATTTCTTTGTGTACTAAGTACAAAAGTAACACACTTGGGCACAGCTAAATCTGTCTTGATTTTATACATTCTAAAAAATGAATGCTTATGTACATATACATTAACATTTATACATTACAGTTTTCAATGTGTACCTCCAGGGTTACCAATAGAGCGCAGACAAGCATGGCAGTTTTCTGACCAGCTGAAGCTCTTCTCTCCCTGTGTTGCAGATTCGCTCCCATGCCCTCTTCCAAGACCTCTGTAAGCACCGTGGTGGGGAAGATGGGGAAGGAGACACAGGAATGCGGGAATGCTGCCCGAGCTGGTCCCTGGGGAACTACCTAGCTGTTTTGAGCAATGCCACCTCTTGCCTTGGTCTGAGTGCAGCTCAGGTTTCCGAAAGTCTACAACTACTCCGCCAGTGTGCCCCTTACTACCATGATGGAAGCCTGGCCCCAGCCTGTGCAGAGAAGGGAAAGCTAGGCCAATGTTCCACTGTGCCATCCCAGTGCAAGCACTCTAGTGCCATCTATCAAATATTGCATTACTTGGTAGATAAGGATTTCCTCGGACCTCAGACTATAGGATATAAGGTGCCTTCACTGAAGTACAGTCTCTTGTTTCTGCCTGTGGAGAAGGGGGATCATATGATGGATATGTATCTCGATAACCTTGAGGGTCGTGATCTAACTAATGATAACACTACCATCACAGGCATGGACTTGGGGATCAAAAAGCAGCTTTTCCAATATTATTTGGCAAGGGATTCGGTGTACCCTGTCCTAGCAGTAGTCATGCTTTTTCTCACTATGGCTTTCTATCTTCATTCACTGTTCCTGTCAGCAATGTCTCTAGCGGCAATCTTGGGTTCTCTTATGTCCTCCTACTTCTTTTACAAGGTTGCTTTCCGGCTGACATTTTTCCCTTTTCTAAACCTTGCTGCACTATTGGTCCTGTTGGGCAGCTGTGCCAACCAGGCATTTATTTTTGCTGACCTCTGGTCCCTCCAGCTGTCTCAGAAGCCCCCTGCATCACTGGAGAAAAGGGTGAAGCGGGCTCTTCAGGAAGCGGGATACCTGATATTGGTGTCAGGTTTGACCTCCAGTGCTGCATTTTACTCAGGGTACATGAGTAGCATCACGGCAGTCAGATGCTTTGCAGTGTACCTTGGTACGGCTACTCTGATCAGTTCTCTCTCTTCCCTGGTTTGGTTGCCCTGCATCCTGATTTTGCACGAGCGCTATGCCGTTGCAGCTGCTGCTGTTGAAGCTCCGGCTGGAAAAACCTGTTGTGCCCTAAGCCCAGGTGGATTCTGGGATACAAGTTCACGAAAACGTTGCCTTTTCTCACTAGGACAGAAGCTAAGGGGGTTAAGACGTGGACTGACTGACACCTCTGATTTACTCTTCATAAAGATCCTGCCATGTGGAGTGGTCAAGTTCCGTTACATCTGGGTCTGCTGGTTTGCTGTACTGGCAGCAGGAGGCACCTACATAACCTGCGTCGACCCCGGCATGAAACTCCCAACTTTAGAGAGCAAGGCAGCCCAGCTGTTCCGCTCTAGTCACCCCTTTGAGCGATACGATGCAGAGTACAGCCATCAATTCATGTTTGAGCGTTTGAAGAGTGGGGAGGAGAAACCTATGACAATAACTCTTGTTTGGGGGGTGCTCCCCACAGATAATGGAGATCACTTGGACCCCAAAAGCAATGGTTCATTAGTACTGGACCCAGAATTTAACATGAGCAGCCCAGACGCTCAATCATGGCTGAGAGACCTTTGTCCAAGAATACAAAATCAGAGCTTTTATCTGCCTATTTCATCATCCTCTGAAGAGGAGAAGCAGGGAGACAGCGTGTGTTTTGTGGAGCGGCTCTTACGATGGGTGTCAATTAGACAGTGCTCTGAAAGCGAGGGTGCCTATAGTCTTTGCTGCAATGATATTCTTTTCCCTTACCTTCCAGGTGTTTTTGAACACTGCCTCGGTATGATGGCAGCTGAGAAGGAAGCAGAGGGCTTCCTCTTTGACACTGGAGGGCCACGGTTTGACTCAGAGGGACGAATTACAGCCCTGATTCTCGAGTTCACGACCACTCACCTCCATAGTTATAATTACAGTCAATCTGCTCATTTCTATCAGCAAATTGAGGCCTGGTTCCACAGAGAAATTTCTGGGGCTCCGCCAGGCCTGCGCAATGGTTGGTTTGTGAGCCAGTTAGCCCTCTATGATCTTCAGCAATGTCTAAGCTCTGAGACCCTGGTTGTGACAGGGTTTTCGGTAGCTCTTGTGTTTGCCATGCTTCTCCTGACAACCTGGAACATTCCCCTGAGCATCTATGGATCTGCTGCAGTAGGAGGGAGTGTTTTTGTCACAGCAGGCCTGTTGGTGCTCCTTGAATGGCAATTGAGTGGCTTAGAAGCTCTTTTCATCTCGGCAGCCGCAGGGCTTTCTGTAGACTTTGCTGCCAACTACTGTGTTTCCTATAGCCTCTCCCCACACCCTGACCGTCTTGGAAGGGTAGCACACTCCCTGAAGAGAATGGGCTGTCCTGCAGCCATAGGTGCTGGGGCTTTCTTCTGCATGGGTATCATCATGCTGCCTGCCACAGCATTGCTATTCCGCAAACTGGGCATCTTCTTGCTGCTTGTGAAGTGTGTGGCTTGTGGATTTGCCACCTTCTTCTTTCAATCTCTCTGCTGCTTTTTTGGGCCCCAGAAGAACTGCGGGCAGATCTTTTGGCCTTGCACAACAGCAAGTGGGCACTATAAGGCAGATTCAGAGTCTGGAAATCTTCTCTCTACTGCAGCAGCAGGATCCTCCAATTCTGCTGCCAATGGGGCTTTTGGGTGTGGAGGAAGGTCCAGGGTGAGGAGGAGTTTTGGAAAAGCGGAGGGAGGAGGGCAGCTCTGCCCGAGTCAACAGCGCCAAAGGCAAAGACAGGGAGGCGGAGGAGGCAGGGAGTCTGAACAGTACGAGTTGCAGCCGCTTGCCTGTCAGCTCAGTGACAGTTTTGAAAATAGCACCTGTACAAGTAAGCTGTCCAACAGACCCTCTGTGCTGTCTGAGGAAATACAGTTCCGCAGCCTGAGCCCCAGAAAAGACTTAGAGGAGTTTAATACAGAGGATGACAGTGAGGAATTAACCAGCAGGCACCTCAAAACCTTCCCACCTCCCCCAGCACTGCAGACCTCATCACCATACAAGGAGAACACCCTACGTCCAGTGGTAGTACCCCCCAGTGAAATGGTCCAGGAAAGGCTCTTGTGTAGGAGGTGCAGGGGCCAGGCTGGAGGCATTAAGCACTGGAACGTCTCACTGTCATCCTCCTCAAGTATGGAAGATATCATCATCAGCAGTCAGCCCCCAGACATGGACCATCGGCACTCCCTTTCCATTGAAGGGGCAATGAGTAGCCCTTTTAAACGCCATCCCCATCGACGTCTTCTTTCATCCCAGTCTCAGAGCTCTTTTGAGGGGCTGGAGGACTCAAATGAGACGTGCTTAAGTGATGTTGAACCTGGACCTGCTACCCCACAGCCCACAACTGAGGCTCAAGCAGAATCGCAACCAGGATACCTCAATGGCAAGAGGGACACACTGCGCCTTTCTTTGAAGGAGACCGTGTTTGAGGCTTCATCCCAAGGCATCGGAAGAGGAAGGACAAGCCAGGGGGAGCTGCCTGTAATCTTGCCTAACAGCAAACCAGACCTTCCAGATGTGTGGATCAAGAGGGAAGGACGAAGTGGGGATGGTAGCTGATAATGATGGTTTACAATGTGTTTATGTTCATATACAGCATTTAAGCCACTGTTGTGTTGGATTCAGTATGGGCAAGTTTATTTTACTCAATGGTACTTTTTGGGTTGCCAACACCCCACCAAGCCAACCAGTGTCTGCTGTATTGAGTAAAATTACCAGCTTAGGCGATCAACACTCTTTATACTCAGCACAGTAAATTACTGTGACACGGGAGTTGCTGGAATTTAAATTTGTAACATAAAAAAAGGCATATACTGATTGCTGTTTGTGGCACACAGCTCTTCTTAAAGATTTCCCAAACAGGTTTTCATCTTAAAATGTACAGATTTGGTTTCTCTATAACCACATATAACTGAGTGGACCAAACATGGAACCATGGAAATGTATGGGTGTCTGTATTGCTGTGAGAAAACTATTGATCAAATGAAATTTGAGAGTTCTGGATTGGATACGGTCCTTGGAATTTTCTGAGAGATGTCAAATATTAGCATAACTTCCTAACACTGAGAACTGGGATTACTCAGTGTCACTACTGACAGTTCTGGTGGACAGAAGAAAATTCTCTTTTTCTGAATACTACACCTTGAAAACCCTGGTTCCAATGCACCTGAAGTCCTCAAACAGCACGGCATTTTAGTGACACAAGGAAGAAGACCACTCACAACTGTTTGGAGGGATCTGATGTTCTGGCGAGTTTATTAGCCAGTACAAAAGGAGTTAAAAGTTCAACTACATCAGCCAATACCCAAGTAATGTCATAAAATACTTCACTAAAGCCAGACAGCATTTAGATTTGTGAGAACTCAAATATCTAAAGGTTTAGAAGACTTAAATATTTTTCCAAGCTACTCATGCCTTATTGATGTAGTAGTAGAAGGTTTTTACTTTCTGAACTATTTTTGGTATTCCAGACCTTACTGAAAGGGTAAAAAATATAAACTGCATTTAATAGATTCCTGCATGTTGCCCCTCACCTTTGTGTTTTCCTAACTTGGATGCTGGTACGATGTAGACCCAAAGACATACAGTACACATGATGGATATTGGTTATAATCCTACAGTAAACAGCTGAAGAAGGCTGTACAGCCGAAACATTGTTTTCTTTCTTCTCTTTTCAGCATGGAATAAACCTATTACTTATCCTACAGTATGACTAAATACTGACAAGACCTCCTATAATTAGACTGGATGCCACGTGTGATGTCTCTATTTATTTTAGAAATCAAGCTGTTATTTCAATTTGTGCATTTTCATTAATTTCCCAGTTAACCAGCCTAAACCTCAGATTGCTACAAGTAACATTCCTGTCCTACACATGTGAGCATACCCTTGTACAAAACTCATTTGAAGCTCTCAATATGCAACATTTTATTTGCTGACAGTGTTGTTGCAAGCCCTAATCAAACATTTCCAAATAACCTTAGCTTTATTTTCATGCTTGTATATTTAGCAGACACAGTTCACACAAAAGCAATAACCTGGAGAACATTAAATGGCTCCAAAAAGTCAGTATAAACCATAATTTGAAGCATCTATCTACATATACAGAATAAAGCAAACAATCTGACTCTACACAGAATAGTCCCTAACTGTATCACATTCCCCCTTCTTTCTGTGAAGTCAACCTCTGCAACCATTGTAAAAGCCATCATGTCTGCAAGTAGCTAGATTCATGATGATCAATAAGCCAGGCAACATTCATAAGGCATTTATTTCTAAGCAGGGTATTGACATCAGAGAATTGTTAGCACATTTTCCAGCTTTAACTAATGTTAAAGATTCACATTTTCAAATGTTCAGATTTTGAGTTGACAGAGTCCCAAGGCTGCCACCTCCTGGCTGTCCTTTGTATTATTTCATATCAAACAGATAAAAAAAAATATATTTTTTTTAATTGTAGAAATTGAAATAATTGATACAGTATACATAACACATAGTACTGTTTTATACCGAAAATGTTTAAGTGAATAGATTTGCCCAGTAACTGTTAGCTGTACAATACCTACTGTACAGGATGTGTCCATGTTATTATTTGTATATCAGTGTACATGTGCCAAAGTGGATCCTAATACTTAAAACCCCTTTTTGTATGTACGACGGTCCACTTTTTAACTTTTTAACACAAGATAGATATTTACTCTCAATTTCCTACAAATGATGGTTCAGGCCAAAAAAAGGTGAATTTATCTTGGTGCAAATGAATCAATAGTATTATTTAAAAAACCATTAGAGGCTATGTTTTTTATTAACAAAACGTGTTTAGGTTTAAATATATTTTTCATAAACTGAATATATATATATTCTGAATTAAAATGATACCACACAAAGATGGTGCTTTGTGATAAGTAAAACTAAATATTCCATAGACATGTCAGCTGATGCGGAAAATTTATATTTCACTCTTATAAATTTTATGAAAGGACTCTACCTCAGTTTTCATTTCTCTGACCCCTTGCCATTATCAGCAGGAAATTCTCATCAATGCAACACAATAGCAACTCGCTCTGAGCTTACAAAGATTTTCTAAATCCTCGCCCTCGCTCTTTTGAAAAGGCTTCCATTCGTTTTTTTCAGCTGACACCTTGTGCAGCATGACTAAGAAAAGACTGTAAAGGGAGAAAGAAATTATTCAAATATGAAGAGTGTATTCCCCTTTTCAAAACAAGCTTCCTTTTAAATGGGTTTGTTGAAATTAAAACATCTTTTTAAGCTTTTAAAACAGTAGCATTTCTAATAATGTACTGCAGACATAAAATAGCCATTATGCTTGTTTTAGAATGTAATGCTGAAATTTCCAAAATTAGGGACCTGCATGATCATTAAGTCCGCTGTTTTGCAACACTGGTCCTGTACCATCTGGTTTTTGTTCCTGGGTAGTAAACCATGGGCTAATTGATTTTTTTAAAAACAATATGCTTCTCAAAAAGTTGAACGGGATTTGTATGTGCCAACAATTTCTGGTGATTTAATATCAAACACTAGTTAAATATTGCCCAATGTTTAACCAGACAGACCTCTGTGTTTGATACACTGTCGATCCCACCTGTGTATGTCCATAACATTTAAGAAAGCTAACGAGAGAATGATTATGTTTCTGTTTGATAAAAAAAAATCCCGAAGTAAAATATTTTTTAAACTAAGGCCTAGGTACAGAAGCAGGAAAACAAAAAGCAAAAGTAAATCATTTAAAGGCATCAATTAGCACCAGTAATTAAAAGCTCAGTTCTAATGAAAACCAGGAGACACAAGAGTCTCCCAGGTCCAAGGTTGAGAACTCCTAGATTAAGTAATTCAATATATTTTGATAAAGAGAATGTGTGATTCTTAAGAAATGTTATTTGTGTCAAAGGTTTGCATTTAATATGTTCTGAATGTATTCTAAACACATGAAGTTAGTTTGGTAGCTTTTTTAATCAGTAAAATGTATCTTGCATAGATATGCTGAACAAGGACCATTAAAAAACTGGCACAATTGAACTAGTCTGAGAAGCTAATTTCCTTAATATAATTTCAGCTGATGCAGTGCACAGGAATCCACCATGTATGGAATAAGTATGTTATGCAATGTCCTGTTCACACTGGGTGAATGCATGGCTACAACAAGTACACAATTTTGATGTTCAAAAAGCAAGCCTTAGTACTTCCCTGGTTGGTGCAGTTTTATTTTAACGCAACGGATCTGCAAAAAGTACTGGATCATGCTGTACTCCTGAACCTTAGCACCACATAATTTGCATTTCTGAGACACAAATCAATCGTATGAACATATGCAGTTACATTCGTCAGCAAAACTGTTTCTTTTTTCCAAATCGGTATGGATTTCAAGAATATATAGTACAAGTGAGAGCGCAGCATGCAATGTTTCTGCAGTAACTTAAGTCATCATTCCGAAAAAAGAGTGAGGTTTAGATTCTGCCAATGTCCATGAATGCTTTGTGCACATTAATTTTGTATTGCCCTAGTTAAGTCTAACATGTAGGCTTTTGATCTGCCTGAAATAAAACAACGAAAACCAGAGACTTAGAAATATGGGGAAAAGAAACAAAAGTCAAAACTTAAGCTTGCTTAAGGTAGTGAAAGCTGGCTTGATCATACTTTTCTTGGTGTAATCTAATCTCCAGGTGCTTCCTACATTCTGTAGGTGATACCCGAGTTCCGCTTATTTTTGAAAAGCTTTAGTTTAATATACACCGAGCAACTTATCACTTACAAAAGCAATTAGTTCAAAAGGTTATCATCTGGAAAAGGATTATTTTGTACTCCTTTACTAAAAGTGCATTTAGTATTTTACCGATCAAACAGGACAAGTACATTTGCTATGCTGATGAACTCTGGTCAATCAAGTAGGGGTCACTGTGAAAGTCAAATCATCAATTAATTTAAATTTAATTAATATCTGAATTAAATATTTTATTTTCATTAAAATATAGATTCATACATTGTTATGTTTCTTTTTGATGCTCAGTATTATTTGCAGAAGAAGATGTTAAAACACGTTAGTTTTTTTAAACAAATGTGTCAGATTCAGTTGATTATTTTTAATATTGTAATGCTTATACTGAACTGTCAAAATAAAAGGTATTTTCTTGCAAAACAAAGTATGTGTTTTATCATCATTCTAAGTAACATTTGGAGCAAACAAAACCCAGGTTTTAAGAGAAAACTAGAATTTAAACATAAGCAGCAAATCAGTAAGATTTAAACTACAATAAATCAAGCAAAAAAAACATTTTCTTTTGGTAATTTATTGGATAGTGAAACTTGATATTATTAGAATTATACACACATTAATCAATTTCTTATGCCCGGCCCAGAGCAAATCAGGAAAATTCTGTAAAAGTTTAATTTTTCAAACAATTTGTACCAGTTTGGACTGATTTTAGGGTACTATAAAATGAAAAAAATAAAATCCTGTACATTTCTTTAGTGCCAGAGCCAATATTAAAATAAAAACATATAATCAACTCTAAACAGTTAAATTTAGTATACCACTAATTCAATTAAATTTAGTTTTATACAAGTGGCATTGGCTTGCTAGTGAAATAAAAATTAGAAGGATATGGCCTGATGAAATCCAGGGAAGAACATATTATGGGGAAAATCACACTGAATACTGTATTAATTTTAGTGGGATTTACACAGGACTTTCAATATGGTTGGCACTGTACAGATTAAGGACACAAATGTAATTGCGGAATTGGTAACTATTCATATAGCAGTGTTAATTCCCCGACAACCTTCTTACATTCCCCAAAAAAAAACAAATGTGCTTCTATATCCAAGTATTGACACACACAAACACATCTCTTCAGTCCTCCTGCCATTCCTCCTTGGCCCAGTCAGGCAATCGGGTGGAGTACTCAAAGTTAGGGCCTTTATACTTCAGGGCATGAAGGTACATTATCAGCTCCTTTTCTGTAGGATCTTTCCGCACAATTTTACACTCACTACATAAGGGGTCTTTAACAACTTTAGGAGATTCTGATCTTGTACCAGTATCATCCAGTTCTTCTCTTTGTACATTCTCTTTGTTCTTTGTACATCCTCTCTCTGAGCCCAAATTATCTGCAAGATCTTCTCTCACTTTGCTGTGCCCCACTTCCACAGTGGTATCACACTGAGGTTCAGCAGCAGAAAATCCTGAATGATTCCCAGGCACACTGTCTGTGCTTTGAATACTCTTATTGGCACTATTAGTTAAAAACTTAGTTTTTCTTTCAGTTGTGCAACTGTCATCCTTGTGTAAATTAGACAGCTCTGCTTCGGGGAAATCACAGACACTTACCACCTCAGCCTTTTCATCGGATCTACAACTTTTCTTGTCTGCCCCACACTTACTTTCAGCCACGTCACAGCTACTCACATGTGCCACACCTTCCTTCCCCTGCATCAGCGCGCCACCAGGCAGATCCTCTTCGGTGATGTCCAGAAGATGAAGGCTCTCCTTGGCCCGATGTTCCTCCACCAGGGCCCTGAGGAGCTGCTCGTCATCCACACCGATGTGGCCCCCCTTGCCTCTCTCAGGCCCCCACGCCGCCGAGCAGTATATGGGGTCGTTGAGGATGGGGTGACCCAGGAACTGCAAGTGGACGCGGATCTGGTGGGTACGCCCAGTCAGAGGCCGGCATTGCACCACGCTGGAGCGGCCGTCGGTGCGGAGCCTGTGGAACACCGTGCGGCAGGGCTTCCCCCGCGGGTCAACGCGGCACACGCCCACTTTGTAGGAAACCACCAAGATCGGCTCCTCGCACACCAGCTCTCCCTCCGGGAACACCCCCAACACCCGGCACACATACTCCTTTTCCAGCTGCAAGACAAGAGCACCCCCCTGAGCCTCACTGGGGATAACCTCCAAACCCTCCACGTCTCCGCGACTCATTTAAAATATTCCCATTCACAACTCGGAGGTTGCGCTTCAATCACAGTCGCAAAAACATACTGTGTTAGCAAAACGTGGATAACTACGTTCATAGGTTTATAAAAAAAAGCTCCTCTGTAAATCTAGTTTGAACCCTAGTTTGACATACTGACAACGCAGTAAAGCTCCGCGGAGCAGCAGAGGACGGAACAGATTTCCGATGCCAGCAAAACAAAATTTGCAACTGTCCTAAGGGTACGACAGCAGTAGAAGGCGATGTCCCCCTGACTCACCTGCCTGTCGCGCACCAGCTGGTCCAGTCGTTGCGAGGCCTCCAGTGTGCGGGCGAACAGCAGCACGCCCGAGGTCAGCCGGTCCAGCCGGTGCACTGTGTGCAGGCTGCTCAGCCCCCGCTCCTTCCCCAAGATGAAGATCACAGTGTTGTGGCGGAAGCGGCCGCAGGGATGAACAGGCAGCGAGGCCGGCTTGTCCACCACCAGCAGCTCTCCGTCATCCACCAGGATCTCCATGGGCTTGGCACTCACTGGCGGCTCATGGCGGTGCACGGTGTTCCTGAGGAAGTCGTTGTTCTGCAAGTGAGTTGGGGGCACACAACAGCCTTTACTGACTTGCTGAAGGATACAGATCAGGGCATCAAAGCAACACAGTGTAGAGAAATCAGTTACCTGCTGGAATGTAGCCAGGGATGATATTGCTGCAGTAAATAAGACTGAATGACTTGATCATTTTTTAAAAAACAACTAATTTAAAACTAATTCAACAGAGGGATGGAAAAATGCTCAATTGTCTGAATTCAGGGCTTATTTACTACAGTTTTTTTGTGTGTTTAGTAAGTTAAAGAGAGTAGAGTTGCCAGTAAAACCTAGAGATTTTTTCCCTTTTCTGAGATGTCTTGGAACAGTGCACTATAAAAGCCAAAATTCAACGACAGGCTATTAACTTCAGGGTGCAAAACGTACTGCTGGCGTGATTTCTCCCTGTACCTGAGAAAGGGTGCTATTCGTTTGAGTTTATTTTCATTACAGTAGAATAAAACATGATGAAACATCATATGCACCATAGAAGACTTACCTTAAGAATTATATTAAGGTCCTCAACAGGCTTCTCATTCAGTCTGATTCGGCCTTTCTTGGCAGCCTGTATATAATACTCCAAAGGTTCAGCGCGAAACTCGGTACGAAACACTTCAAGCAGGCTTTTACCAACCCAGCGGCCCTTGCAGTAGGTCTGGAAGTCGAAATAATAGGGGTAGACCTTCCGGAGACCCCCCTCGAAGTAGTAACTTGTCTCTTTAAAATGCTCTTGGCTGAAGCTGACGCCGGGGTTTCGCTTCTGAGGCGGAGGCACATACCTCTCTCCCGGCGGAAGCTTCTTTCCTCCTCCGCCTCGTCGCTTCTTTCTGCGACTGTCATGTTCAGGCTCCTCGATCTCGGCGATTTTCCGTTTTGTTATTTCTATTTTGCCTGAAGCTGCGGTACTACTGTCCGCTTCACCTTTTCTTTCTACGGGATTACTAGTATCCATTTGCCCAAATGGATGAACTGAGTTATGATGAATTGCAAGACTTTGTTTCAACCTTTTCCGGGGACAGCTGGAAACCATGCAGCTTTTGGTAACTAGACTCCACACATTTTTGTAACTGGTTGGTACCGTCAAGACAGAAGAAAAAAACCGTTGAATCCGACCTATTTTAGTCCAGTGTTGCATGTACGAATACTTACGTTTTGATGTCCATTTACACGAAATGCATAGCTCGATACCCTGTTCGTGGTAGACAAGTTATATACTGCAATACTTAAGTTCAGTCGTGGTTATATTATGTTTAAAACTGAAAACAGTTTTTCGTATGCGGTTCTGAATACAGTTCTGGACATGAGATTCACGTGTTCTCTTTCGCAAAAGATGTTCCAAGGTCCTAGTAGCAGTAGGAGTAGATGTCGCAGTGTAATTACGTCATCAAGGACTATGTAGCTACGCCTTAAAAGAAAAGAACGTAGGAAAATTTACAAACCGTTGGATGCCGTTCAACCCAGCTAGCAACTTTGGTTGCCAGTAGTTAATTATCCGATAACCTCAATGTTTGTTAAAATAAATTTCTTCAACAAGTTGTTTGGGTAATTTATTCCAGACTTCAGAAATCCTTTTGTAAAGCATCTCCTCAAATTCTTATACTCGGTTGATTCTTTAATCTGTCAGACTACCTTTGTCAATTTTGATTGATAATTTTGAAATACTGAATGAGGTCCCTTTATAGTTTTCTCAAAACTAAAAATGTTTAGTTTTTGTTCTTGGAATGTCTCCGTGGTGGACATTCCTTTAATTGTGGGAATGTATCGGGTTG